GGGCGGACCCCGCATCCCCACCGTGGCCCAGGGGCGGGGGCGTGGCCCACCGGCCTCTAGCCTCCTGCTGGTACCACCTGATGCTGCCTGGCCCCAGCCCCACGCCGCCGGTGGGTGGGGCCGTGCCTCACCTGGCGGAGCTTTGGGCGGCCGCGCCCACCTGGGCGCTGGGAGCGCCACAGCACTCCACCTGAGATGAGGCGGCGAATCTGATTTAGGTTTGAGAGCCGCTGCTCAAGCCTCACCATTGCGCACCTGAAGGCTGAACTGCCCAGGTCATCTTGCAGCTTCAGGTGCTGCGAATCTGTTGGGCTGGGACCCGTCATCCGCCCTGCCACCCAAACTGGTCCCAGGCTCCATAGTGAGCCACGTGTGCTCGTTTCTGTCCGCAGCGCCGTGGGGAAGACATGCCTACTGATCAGCTACACGACCAACGCCTTCCCCGGAGAATACATCCCCACTGTGTGAGTGTTTGCAGTTGGGAGGGGAGGAGCACCGGACATGGAGGCTGGGCACATTTGTGTGGGGCTCCCGTGGGCACAGGGTCCTGGCTAGGTGGCCTGGTTCAGAGTTTCCTCAGTGGGACAAAGGTCCCTCAGTGTTTTGATTCAGTTCAGGCATGAAGACACAAGCCGGCTGGTTGGCCTCTGTGGCCTGGGACTCCTGCCCAGCCCTGGCCTTTCTCACTCTGCTCTGCAGTTTTGACAACTATTCGGCCAATGTGATGGTGGACGGGAAGCCAGTCAACCTGGGGCTGTGGGACACCGCTGGGCAGGAGGACTATGACCGGCTGCGGCCACTCTCCTATCCCCAAACTGTAGGTGACAACAGGGCGGGTCCCAGGAGATGGGTGGCTCTGGTAGATGGAAGGCACAGTGGCAGTTTACACCCTTCCTGATCCCTCCTGCCTGTCCCTTCCTCCCAAGGACGTCTTTCTGATCTGTTTCTCCTTGGTGAGCCCGGCTTCCTTTGAGAATGTTCGTGCCAAGGTAGGGCAGGGCTGGAGGAGTCTGCCTGCAAGAGGGTTTGCTTCAGGACCTGTCCTGACAGAACAGGGGTCTCTTGCCTGGAGGCAGCTTGTCCTTCAGAGGCAAATGAGATGCTGTTCCACTGTGGGCACTGAGGGTGGCCCTGGGGGAGGGACAGTAGGGAGTGACAGAATGGAGGGGCATCTCACCACTGGTGGTAATAGTCCCAGGATGGGGCCCCTGGTATACCACAGGCACTTTTGTTCCTGTCATTTCCACACCAAGTCACCAGTCCCTCCCTGGTCACCCCATGAGGCAGGAAGAACCAAGCATGTGTCCAGGGGTGGTGAGGAAAAGGCCTCAAGAGCTGTGGCTTGCTCTGGGCATAGCTAGGGGAGCTGCCCCTAAGGATAGAGGAGCATGGTACCTTCAGGGTCAGAACCTTTGTCCCCGCAGTGGTACCCAGAGGTGCGGCACCACTGCCCCCATACGCCAATCCTGTTAGTGGGCACCAAGCTCGATCTTCGTGATGACAAGGACACCATCGAGCGGCTTCGGGACAAGAAGCTGGCACCCATCACCTACCCACAGGGCCTGGCCATGGCCCGAGAGATTGGTGAGTGGGCACAGCAGGACCAAGGTGGAAAAGGAGAGGGCGTGTGCTCTGGGGTGGGGGCTTGCCCTGCCTGTGCTGCCCTCCATTCCTGCCCCTGTTCCCTAAACTCTCCTGTCCCCTGCCTCACTGTCCCTTGTCCCACTCTGCTGTTCCAGGCTCTGTCAAATACCTGGAGTGCTCAGCTCTGACCCAGCGGGGCCTGAAGACGGTGTTTGATGAGGCCATCCGGGCAGTGCTCTGCCCACCTCCTGTGAAAAAGCCAGGCAAGAAGTGCACGGTCTTCTAGAGCCCCAGCCCCTGGGCCAGCCTGGTGGAGGAGCAGCCCCTGGTCCAAATGTGCTATCATGTTGAGCTGTCTGGTGTCCGAGTCTGCTGTAGAGGGTGGCGGGGGGGGGGAGGGAAAGCATGGGGACAAGGCTGGGGTGATGGGGTCCTGTCCCCTCTACCTCCTGTTTGTGGAGTGCAGCTTCAGCCTTCCCTGGCCCCCATGGGAGGCCAGGAGGGAGCAGGGTCTCCCTCAGGGCTGCAGGGACAGGTCCAGGACAGCCCCAGGATGGGCTTCCATGATGGGGAGGGGGGGGGGGTTCTGTCCATTGGGTCCAAGGAAGGGGCAGCCCCTTCTTATTTTATACAATAAACATTCTTCACCAATGTCTTCTACCTCTCACTACCCTCTATTTGGGTTTGGGAGTGCTCCTAACCATCCCCAACAGCAGGTGCAGGAGACCGGGGCTCCCCCAGCAACACCTTGGAGTATAAGTTCCTAGAGGAGGGCTCTGAGCTTGGTCCCCTACCCCCAAGTAAGAGAGGCTGCCACTACCCAGAGACCAGATCAAAGCAAGGGCAGGTGCCTGTAGCCTCTTTAGGTGCCGGCAGGACCAGTGCTGGCCTGGGGTCTGGTGAGGGGTGGGAGACACACTGGTGTGGCGGGCTGGGCTATTCAGCAGCTCACACCTGTGCTGAGAAGCATGGTCAATTGGAGCCCTAGAGGATTCAGCTGCTCCCCACAGCGCCCTCTCCCTCCTTTGTGTTTGTTTTTGTTTTGAGACAGGGTCTTACTATGTAATTCAGGCTGTCTTTGAACTCACTTTGTACCTCAGGCTGCCCTTGAACTTGTAATCCTCCTGCCACAGCCTCCCGAGTGCTGGACCTACAGGCATGCGCCACCATATCTGGCCTACTTTGGCTGGTAGTAAAGGCATCAGGCAGAGGGGCCAGGGCGGACAGAGGCATGGAGACTGAATGACAACTGGTGGTGTGTGCCAGGTGTGGTTCAAGGCCAGCCTGGACTACATACTGAGTTCAAGTTCAGCCTGAACAATACAGCAACTCTTGTCTCAAGACACACAAAAATGTGGGCATATAACATCCTAATTATTTTTACACAGATTGTCACATGTGCTTCTGTCATATCTAGCCAGGTGCTATAGCACATCTCAACAGATCCATGACATAACTTAAAATCAGCCCCAGTGCACATATTTCCACTTTAGCAGTGGGCAAATTCTACAGATCAGAGCTCAATTAATCATCAACATCTAGGGGCTGGGGATTTAGCTCAGCGGCAAAAGCGCCTGCCTGGCAAGCGCAAGGTCGTGAGTTCGGTTCCCAGTACCGGAGAAAAACAAAACAAAAAAAAAATCATCAACATCTACTAGACTTGACATGACAGAGCAAGGGTAAAATCAACTTACATGTGTCATCCCTGTCCTCATTTCTTTGTAAATAGTACAAAAATTTGGGAAATGTTCTTCCAGTATTGGAAAACAATTATCCAATTCAGCAAAGAAGTTCCTTGGTCATGGGCAAATTAGGAAAGTTTGTCACATATTGTTCTGTTTCATGTGCCTTACCCGTGAACTGTAAGGAAAACTAGTCAACATTCCCCTGAGTCACACTGGCTGTTCAACATTTACAAGCCCCAGCTCCACCCCACAGGTATCTTGGCAGGGCCAAGGGCCACTCTGGCTCAAACTCACCACCCTTTAGGAACCAGGCTTCTGGAAGGTTCATTTCCCAGCTCTATTGGAGGGGGAGTGGCCAGACCTGAAGGTCTCAGGTAAGGGAGCAGGCTACAGTTGGCCTAGACGGTGGATCTAGATCTGTGCCCACCTGGACATCAGCACCAAGCCTGGGCAAGAGTCCAGTTTATTGGTGGAAAAGAGCAGGGGCAGGGGGCGGTGCTCAGCAGGGAGCAGAAGTGTGTGGCTGGAGGCAGCTCAGGTGGCCAGGAAACCACCTTCTACTGGCAGAGCGGATCCTGTGGTCATGCCACTCCGGTCACTCAGCAGGAAGAGGATGGCGTCCACCACATTCTCCACCTCTGTGAGGAAGGTGGTAGTCAAGGACCCAAAAGGGGCCACCCTCTTCCTCCTGACCCCTGGCCCCAAGTAGGCACCAGGACCACTGATACAGCCTGGGTTCTCTCCTGACTCACCCGCAAACCTGCCAAGTGGGATGCGGTCCAGTATAACCTTGGCCTTGTGGGGGTCACTCCAGTAGGCCTTGCCCATGGGCGTCATCACCACAGTGGGATTTACTGCATTCACACGGATCTGCACAGAGATGGACAGGGCTCAGCAAGCCGGGGAGGGTACCCTGGGCAGGTGGGCTGAGTGATGAGGGGCACCCCAGCCCATTCACCTTGTGGGGCCCAAGTTCTAGAGCCATCACCTTGGTCAGCATGTCCAGGGCACCCTTGGTGGAGCCTGCAAGAGGGACATCACGGGGCCCCAGTTGGATGGGGCTAGGGATGGGGTGAGAGTCAGAATACAGCAAGAGCCACTCACTGTAGACACTGTGGTTGGTAAGTGCACGCTGGGAGGACTGGCTGGAGACATTTACGATGGCCCCTGGCACCCCCCGGGCTATCATGCTCCTGGCTACAATCTGAAATCACAAAGGGAAATCAGCAGACTTGACCTGCAGAGTCCCACTCAGGGCCTAGCAGGACTGCTCACCTGGGACACCTGGATGACAGCCCGAAGGTTTACATCGAAAGACCTGGTGGTGGATGGACAAACCCTGGTCAGGGGCAGGGAGCCAGAGGAAACAGCCCCTGCCCTCTCCCAGGGTTCCCTTGACCCCTGCAGGCTCACCTGTCACATGCTTCCTTGGTGATCTCCAGGAAAGGCTGCAGCAGTGCCACTGCTGCATTGTTCACCAGCAGGTCCACGGGGCCCACACTGCTCAGGGCTCGCTCTGTGGCTTCCCAGTCGGCCAGGTCCACACACACAGGCTCTACCCCGGGACACTGTGTGTATTGGGGTGAGGTACAGCTACCACAGCTTCACACCCAAGAAAGGCCCAGGTAGACCTCTGCCATCTGAGGGAGGGGTCCTAAGCTGGAAAGAGTTCGGACTGGGAAGGGTCAGAGGTCTAGGGGGCGCCTATGAGCAGATCCTGGGCTGCACAACTGAGAAGCCGGACCCGCCTCCAGCAGTTCACTTCCTGCCTGCCCCAGCGTTCCTGGCCCCAGGCCTGCTCAGCAGACACTTCAGCCTCCTCCCAAGACCAGGGTCGCCCAAGGTAGCAGCGGTCACGGGAAGGGGTTCTAAGGGTCCCAACTGCCGCAGCCCTACCTCGCCGACTAGACTGTCCAAGTCGGCCTGCGTCCGGCTCACGGCCACCACACGCACACCCGCCGCGCACAAAGCCTGGACCGTGCTGCGCCCGATGCCTGGGGGGAGCTCGGCTCAGCGTGGGTGCACCCTGCCTGGCCAGGCCCTTGAACCTCGCCCGCCGGCCAGCTTGGCCCACTCCCACCCACCGGCCCACCTTTGCCGGCGCCGGTGACCAGCGCGCGGCGGCCAGCCAACCCCAGCTCCATGGTGGCCCGTCTGGGGCCTAGCGCGCTCAGCGGGGACTTGAGGATCCGGGGACCGAGCGAGGCCGAAAGATCCCGGAGCGACTTTTGAGGGGGTGGGGATATTCAAATAATTACTCTCCTACGAGAATGATTGGCTGAAGGACAGTGGGCGCGGCCGGGGCGGGGCTTTTCAAAGAACCCAGGAATGGGTGAGCTGTTTGGTTTAGATCAGCATGTTTTTCCCTGACGAGAGGATAATTATAAAGAATAGAGGTTACCAGACACAAGCTTAAATATCGCATGGTTTCTCTTACATGAGAAACCCAAAGCATAAAGAGCAAAATAAAAGATAATAGGAAACAGATCTTTTGCAAATGGGAACTGACGAAGAGATGGGAGGGGAGAGAGAAAGGAGGGGAAGGGATGAAAAAATAATTAAGATGTGTTATGTACATGTGCAAATTCCCCACGATGAATGTAATCATTATGTACTGCAAAGAGTACTAATATAATTAAAATATGAAAAAAGAATAGAATTTCAGCTAAACATGAAATGGAGAACCAAGTGTTAACTTTGACGTATCTAAAGCTTCACATGTGCCCCTTCCCCAGAACTGGCACTGACAGCAGGTCACCAAGCTCACACGGAATGCTCAAAAAGAAATAAGTCAGACAACAGAACAAGACTGAAGATGACACCATTAGCAACAGCACTATGCCTTATCCTACAAAAGGGATGAACCCCAAGGGCATCCCCAGCCAGCCCACATATGGTCTCGTGTGTAGTTCAGGCTGGCCTTGAAATTGTGGTGATCCTCTTACCTCAGCCTCCTAAGTGCTGGGATTATAGACATGTGCCCCTAAACCCAGCTTCTTGCACCTTTAAAAAGGGAACTGTATGGGAGAGGGCAGGATCGGGGAGATAGAAGTACATGGTGAGTGTTCCTTACCCAGTCTTATGGTCACTTATAAATGTGACACTGGGTCTCCCCATAAAAGATATTTTGTATTGTGGGTCATGGTGGGCAGGTGTACAGGCACCACCATTGGGACTTTCTGTGGCCACTAGTAGGACATGCATGGTGGTAGGGCCTCTGTACACAGAAGGGTGGACAGGCTGGAGGCAAGGATGGCCAGAGCAGTGGGAGTGTGGACCTGAGAGTTCCTGGAGGATGCCCCCAGGCCTGTGCTCTCCTCACCAACTCCAGAAAGGCCACCCTGAAGCCCTATCTTCTGCTCCAAACCTTGGACCTTGTCCTCTGCCTGCCAGAGACTAAGGGAGGGACAATCCCCAAGCTGACCTTCCTGGAGAGCACATCTTCTTGGATCCCTTCACCAGCTAACCTTTGCCCCAAGAGTAGCCATGGCTCACACATTGCCTGTCCTGTGGTCCTTGGCCAAGTAGGCCCAAGACAGCTGCAGCTCAGACCTTGCTGCCTGGCCCTGCTGACTGCTCAGAAGTTGCCTCAGCGTCTCTCATACCCACCCAACTCCCTGTGCTCTCCCAGCCACTGCCTGGAAGGGCTCACCCCACTGCCTGGCCATCTGTCCCCTTGGGCAGGATTGGATCCTATGGCAGCCCAGCTGCTGGCCACCTCAGGCCAGACAGCCTCCCAGATGGCATCGGCAGTGTCAAAGAAGCACAAGGCCGGCAGGACTTTCTGGCCAGCCCTGGGCTGCAGGACTCTTGTACTCTGTGCTCAGGCCAGAGAAGGTGGGTAGAGCAGGGGCTGCCGGCCCTGGGCCACAGGAGGTGGGGCTACACTTGATCCACCCCCTCCCTCTGAACGCTGGCCCCACAGGACCTAACGGCGCCCCAGTCCAGGGCCTCTCCTGGTTGGCAGACAGGGGTCAGTGGCACTCAGGGGCGTGGCCTCGGCCTCCCTGCCTCCCCCTCGGCTCTGAGCAGGCGGGCTGTGGGGAGCGCGTCCTCCTGCGAAGACTGCTGCGAAAAGCATCTGTCCTTTCGTCGAGGCGGCAGAGTTAGCGATTGAGGGGACTGGCTGTGCCAGGTGACAGCGGCCCCTCGCTCCCTGTCCCTGAGGCTCCCACCCACTTCTCGAGGTGCCCACTCAGAACACGTTTGGTTCACGTTGGTACCAAACAATGGCGTCCATTTATTTATGTCTGTTCGCAGCAGGGACATCCAAGATGGGGGGTGGTCACCGGGTGTGGACGGGGTGAGGGAGGAGGGGAGTAGCAGGTGGACAGGGTCCTGGTTGGAGGTGTGTGTGTGTGTAGGCGGGGGTGGGGCCTGAGGGGATAGAGCCAGGGTGGGACGTCATCCAAGAGGGCGGGTCTAGGCAAGGCCTGGGGTGCAGTGGGGCCTTAGCGATAGCAGAGGGTGGCGCATGCACGAGCGTGTGGGCGGGGCCAGTCAGCGTCTGTGTGGGTGCTAGCGGGGTACCCCACAGGCCCCCAATCCAGCGAGGTCCTAGGAAGCCAGGTAGCCGCCGTCCACCATGATCCCCGAGCCCGTGGTAGAGGCGCTGCGGTCGCTGAGCAGGAAGAGGATGCTGTTGACCACGTCCTCCACCTCTGCATAGCAGCGAGCATGTCAGAAGGAAGATGACTCGGCTTCTCCGAGTCCCAAACACCCATTGTACCCCCTGACCTGCAAACTTCCTCAGAGGATGGCGCTCCTTCATCTTTCGGGAGAACTCAGGGTCCGCCGTGACTTTCTTGCCCATAGCAGTCAGCACCACCGTGGGGTTCACAGAGTTCACTCGGATCTGGGGCCAGGGCCAGGGTTGGTGCCCTCTGCCCGTGGATTAGCCCCCTTCCACAGCCCCTGGACCCCCAACACTGAGCTTACTATGTTCAGCTAACCCCTGACCCTACTGCTCAGATCCTAACTTGGCCCCAGGCCTGGGTCGTGCTTATCATCAAATCCCTGTCCTGGCCCCCAGTGCCTGCCTCTGGCCCTTCAGGCCTGTGCCCAGTTTCTGCCTCCACACTCACCTTGTGGGGCCCCAGCTCCATGGCCATTGCTTTGGTCAGCATGGTCATTGCAGACTTAGTGGAGCCTATTGGGAGGGCAGCACAAGGACCACTCAGGATTGAGTCTTTCCCAGGAGGATGAGCCTGGAGCCCAGGCCTCCCTTGTGGGTGGGCTGCACTCACTGTAGGTGATCAGGTTGGGGTAAGTTACATGCGCCACCATGCTGGAGATGTTGACAATGGATCCTGGTACTCCTCTGGCGATCATGCCCCGGGCTACAATCTGGAAGCCAAGAGTTGAGGGTAGCAAACCCACACACTCTCCCTAGCCAGCTGGTGCCAGCCCACACCTTGCCACTGACTCACCTGGGACACTTGAACCACAGAACGCAGATTCACATTGAAGGACCTGGCAGAGAGAGGAACTGTGACCGCCTATCTCCACCCACCTATCCTCAGTAGCCCCTCGCCAGCCTGACCGCTGTCCCCAACCCAACTGCTGTCCCCAACTGTTGATTGTTTCCCACCTGTCGAAGGTCTCCTTGGTGATCTCCAAGAAGGGTTGCATTAGAACCACAGCAGCATTGTTGACCAGCAGGTCCACAGCTCCCACCCTGCCCAGCGCCTGCTCTGTGGCTTCCCAGTTGCCTAGATCCACACACACAGCCTCTATCCCGGGACACTGCGGAGATATTGTGGAGTGGTCCCTGGGCCATCCATGAGGGGTGGGATGCCCACTACTGCCCTGGGGGTTCTGTGCCTCACCTCTTTGGAGAGGCTGACTAGGTCAGCATCTGTACGGCTCACAGCCACCACGCTGGCTCCTGAGGCATGCAGGGCTTTCACAGTGTCCCGGCCAATCCCTGCAAAGGAGACTCATGGCTACAGGGAGCTGGAGCCTGGCCAAGCTGGGGTCAGGAGAGTGGTGGGAGTGCTACCCAGGGATAAGCCTTGAGAAGTTGCTGGTGGCCCTGACCAGGTGTAGCCCAGGTCTGAGGACCGGCTGACCAGGATTGGGCCAAGGGAGCCCCCACAGGCAGCTGCTTCCCAGTGGGCCTGAGAAAGGGCTATAGCTGGACCCCCAGATGCCCAGCCTAAGTTTAGGGGCTGCCCTGGAGACCAGTCCAGCTCTCTCTTCTCCGGGTTTTTTATTTTTATTTTTTTTTGGCATCTTGGTTCAGTGGGACTCCAGCCAGGCTTGGGGAACAGCTCTGCCTGGATGATGTGGTTTTGGGGTAGTGGTGAGGTAATCTGTGACAGAGTCCCCTGGGGTCTCTGAAATATCCTGGCAGCCCCTAAACTCGGGGTGGGTATCTGGGGGTCCAACTATAGCCCTCTCCTCCAGCCTCTGACACCCACACTTCCTACATGCGCTCACCTTTCCCTGCCCCTGTTACCAGGGCCCTCAGGCCGCTGAAATTCAGCTGCATGGTGTTGATCCTCTACAGGGAGGGGAGAACTAGGGTTTTTATATCGTCTGAGCTGCCAACTAGGAGAGAGGGGTGTGGCCAGAGGCGGGCAGGATTTGGGGGCTCTGATTACTCTTAGGGAGTGGAGCCAGATCTTCATACTGGGATTTCCAAAATAAATGAAAAATAAAGCCTGTGAGAGTCTGGGCAGCAGCACTGTGGAAAGGGGGGCAGGGGAAGGGGATGGAATTTTGTTTTGTTTTTATTTTATTTTTTACCATACTAGGGATCTCACCCAAGGCCTCTGGCATCCTTGGAAAATAATTACATCCTGACCCTAGAAATTATGGTTTGGGTCTGGACATCCCCTCAAAGCCTCATGTGGTCATTGGGAGGCGGGCTTTTTGGAGGTGGCTGAATCTAGAGTTTGTGATTTGATTGGTTAGTTCATTGTCTAGTGCTGGATTGGCGGTGTGAGTGCTGCACCCACCCTGGGGCAGACAGCCTGCATGCAGTGTGGAGGAGGAAAACAGGCCTGCTCCTCCCTTTTACCCCTTTTTGCTCTTGCTGCTTTTGCTGTCTTCTGCCATGTGCCACCTTGCCTTGGAGCCAGCTGATTACAGATTCAAGCCTCTAAATAAACCTCTCCTTCCTTAATTCTGAGTGTCAAGTACTTTGTCCCAGCAAGGACAGAAAAGTAACTAAGACACTAGGGAAGTAGAATTTGTGTGGCTTTTTGTGGGTGAGGGGTCTATTCTAGACAGAAGCATTTCCCTGTAACACTGCCCTGGGAGAGGAAGGGGTGCCTCCCTGACAGGTGGGGGTATGGCAGCTTGGCTGAGGAGGCAGAGCAGCTGTGCCAGTGGGAGTGGGGGTGGCTGTCCACATCCCCCATAATGCCAGCTCTCTAGTTATGCCCCAGCATCCTGGACTGGGTTTGCTGCCCTGGGGAACAGCTGCCCACAGAGCAAGCAGCAGTGAGACCCTTTCTGAGCTAGCTAAAGCAGATGATGCTTAAGGTGGCCCCTGGCCACCTGACCCTAACCTCACTTCAGGGATCACTGAGGCTTCAGAGCCCTTACTTAGTCCCTCCCAAGTGTCCCTCCCTTGGCCCTTGTTAGCATGGGACTCCTCCCTGGTGTTGTTGCCCTGGGGGGGGGCGCCTGGGGGGCCCTCCTGAGGCACCCTCTTTCCCTCTGCAGTGGAACTTAAAAAAGGGGGGTTGTCCTGCCCCCAGCCTGATCCCTTACTGGAAACTCCCCTTCTCAGAGTAGATGGCTTTTGGAACAGTTTGGCAAAACAACTAGAGGATTTACCATGCCCTTCCTCCAACGCTTCTTCTGGAAATTTGCCTACTGTATGTCCTGAGCACCTCCCTCTGTGTGTGGCAGTGTTCATGGGACAAATGCCACTGTCCGGGGCTCAGGGCGGGTCAGGGGTTGGGAACATCTGGGCAGCTCATTTGTGTTCGTTTGGGCAATGCACTCATATCTCCAGGGGCTTCCTGGACCCGGTTTCCAGATTCTCAATGTTATGGTTTAATGGGTCAGACAGTACCCACTAATGGCAGCCTGCTCAGGCTGTCCTCAGCCTGTGTGACTCCTCAGAGAGGACAAAGCAGGAAATCTGGTCCTGGGCAGGGTTGCAAGCATCATTGTCAAGCTGGGCTTTCCTTTCACACTTGTCAGAAACTTTGTTTGGAAAGGCAGGGCGGGAGGGTCCCGGGACCTCAGGGAAGAGACTGGAGAGGGTGGGAAGCTGGAAGTGAGCTCGGACACCTGTGCACCAAGTCGGTCCCACTCCCTGCACAGCTAGGGCTGAGTTCCGGCTTATGAAAACCACAGGATTCTGGATAGAGTACACTTGCTATACCATGTCCTTGACCTCAGATGACGCCATCTTCCCAGGGACCCCAACAGATGTGTGGGTGGCGGTTCCTCTGGGGAGTGTCCTCCTAGGAGCTGCAGTTTGGAAGGGGAGAAGCAGGTCAGAACACCTCCCTCCCTCTGTCAGTCTGCACCTTCTAGGAGAAACAAGGCAGCCCCTGCCCGCTTCACCACGAAGCCTTCCACTCCTAACAAGATAAATGACCACTTGCTAAATGCAATCATGTCGCAGGTACAATATGAAGAACTTTCCTCTCCCTTGAATCATTTGAGTGTAATTTACTAAACTAATACCCTTGGACAGCCCCCCCAGTATCTTAGTGTCTCTCTCCTCCTGATGAGGGCCGCCCCCTGCACAACCTCAGCCCTCACAATCTCAAAGTTGTCAGGGGCACCCCTACCCCAAGTCCCATCCACTGAGGGGCTTCATGGCCAAAACTCCAGCCCAGACCTTGTGTGCCTCTGGGCAGGCGGTCTCTAGTCCCCTTTCTCTGGAATCATCTCCATCTGTCTGCACTTTCTGACCTGGACACTTTCCCAAATGACAGGCTGGTTGTTTGGCAGGCAGTTCTTCCACGTGGATGTCCCCAGTGTTTCTTCAGGTCAGACCTCAGCCATGTGTATTTCTCAGGAATGCAACACAGGAGAGATGCTTTGCTGGAAGGCGTTCTACCCTCTGGGCACACTTCCATTTTCTCCTGCCTGGTGCCATTGCTTTGATCATTAGCTGGAAGGCAGTCTCACTGTGATGTTAGCTCTGACCACCGGGCTCACCCACTGAACTCCAAGCATGGAACATGGCTGCTGCCGCCCACTACACACTGTGGAGTGTATGCAGAAGGTTCCCATGACCCACGGCCACCAGGCTACACACAGGGACAGGAATTCTGCCATATAGGTGCAGCTGTGCATCACGTCCACTGACCCAGGGCCAGCCCAGTGTGGCCCATCCCTGTTAGCTGCTCACTTCTGTTCCTGTCACACAGCCCATGGTCACTTCTGTGCCCACCTTCTCATACCGCTTTTGCTCCCTGCCTGCTGCCAAGCACCTCAGCTGGCCAAGGTCCAGACTGTGCAGTGGCTGTGCCAACACTGGGTTGTGGAGCTTCTTGTGGACTTTAGTTACAGAGGGTAGGAACATGAGGGGGACTGCAGACATCATCCACAGCAGCCTGCACATGCTAGAGCTGCCTGGTTCCTGACCATATCAAGAGGTCCTTTCCTTTTTCTATTTTGTGCATAGTTGTGTATGTTTGTTATTTATTTATTTATTTATTAATTTTTGAGACAGTGTCTCACTTTTGAGACAGTGTCTCACTACAGTGCCCAGGCTGGGTTCAAACTTGTGATCCTCCTTCCTCAGCTTCCCAGAGTACTAGAGTTACAGACTTATGCCATCACACCTGGCTCTTTCTTTGCCTACTGATTCACTTGCATGAGGAGTCCCAAGGAGCCAGGTAGCAGTGTCTGCTTCTGATTGAACAGCACTGTCACTGAGCCCATGGTGGTGAAAGGGAAGAAGTACCAGAAAAATTGTTCTTTTAAAAACTTTGTTCTATTTGAAACTTCCCAGCTCTGTAGCTGCTTCACAGCTCTGTAATTATTTTCTTTCTTTCTTTTTTTAGGGTCTTTTTGAGATAAGGTCTCACTATGCAGTTCAGGCTGGCCTTGAACTCACTTTGTAGCCCAGGCTGGTCTCGAACTAACAACTATCCTCCTGTCTCAGCCTCCCACGTGCTAGGATTACAGGCATGTGCCACCACACCCAGCTTGTAATTACTTCCTTGACCCCATGGGGATTTGGTGTTGGTCTCTGCTGCTGCTGCAGGTGGGACACTCAGCAGGGCTTTCCTGAGAATGGCTGGTATATCAGTCAGTGTTTACTAGAGAAACAGATATAACACAAGATATACAAATGTATAAGAAATTACAAGATCGGTTTACAATGGTCACCTACAGATTTGGGTGAGGAAGTGTGCAGATGTCTGCACACTGGAGAGTGGAGGATTCAGAGGAGTGAGAGTGGAGCTCACTGCAGTGTCCCATGCAAGTCCGTATCAGGAGGCTGATGGGTCTGCGCCAGAAAGCTGATGAGTCTATGCTGGAAGGCTGAAGGATCTAAGGCAGAAGCCAAAGAGTCTGCGCTGAAAGCCAGGAGACGACATCCAAGTTAAAGGCAAAAACTGCAGCTCATCTGCAGAACAGCAGATCCATCCTTCCTCATTTCTCCTTTATACCATTCAGGCAACGACCCACCTTAGGCTGCATCTTCTGCACCTCAGGGTGTAGAATGGCTGAGGTGATCGCTAAACTTCTAAACTTCTCAAGTTGACACAATCAATCAACCATCACAGTTGGGCAGAGGGTACCTGACACCTATGGGATGGGCACCTCATCCCCAAGGTGTTAGGATCGTCCTCCACCGAGGTGATGGTTTGGTGAGCATTTTCACATCACACACACCTCCATGCACGTACTCACCTGGACAGGTGCATCTGCTCCTCTCCTCCCTAGACCTCCCTGTCACCTGCTATGGTCTGAGGGCCGGTGCCCCCGCCCCCAGCGCATAGGCTGAAACCTGTGTTCAGTGCGATGTTGTTAGGAGGTGTGGGTTGAAGCCTGAGGAGGTCATGGGGGTGGAGCCTTCATCAGAGTCTCTCTCACTTCCTGTTCTGGACCCCAGGCGCTGCCACTGGCCCCTGCCTGCGAGTGACTCCCCTGCTCTGAGCCCCTGGCCACTTCTTCCAAGGCATAGTAGATGGCCAGGTGTGTTTCTCACATGGCTCTGGGAGGGTCCCCTCCCACTGTGCAGAGGTCCACTTGTGGATGAGACTGCGTAGCACTGCTATAAACAAGACTGGCAGCATCCTGCCCTGTGCAGCTGGTCCTCAGCAAGTCCCCGTGGGGCCACAGGTGTGCCTGAGAGAGGAGGAGGCTAAGAGCAGCACAGGGGTTGGGGACATCTGGGCAGCTTGTTCATGCAATGCACTCATATCTCCAGGACCTGCCTGGGTCTGGTTTCCAGGTTCCTAGTTTTAGGCTTTAGTGGATCAGACAACACCCATTAATGACAACCAGCTCAGGTCCCATGGTAACTTGGTGGCCCATGGTCAAGAACTCGCTGAGTCCCAGAAATAAATAAAACCACTCTTCCAGTTGAAA